AGGGCTGGTTCCAAAGTAAAACCAGCAGATCCTCTCCAGGGCGCGAACAGCCTTTGCCTTCTGAGAGCAGAGACAAGTAAAAACCTGCAGAGAGAGCTCCCAGCCAGCCTCCAGCCCCTTTCCCCTGGAGATGGCCTCTTTGCTGGTTAACTGACTTGAGCCAGTCCAGGTGCACTGAGCCACAGGAAGATACGTGCTTGCAATTCAGCATTTGGCCTCTGTGGGAAACAGATTTTAGTTAGGAAATCAGAAATGCATGAGGTACGTTAAAGTGTATTAGAAGCAATGGGAAGCATGGGGATCACCTCACAGCATCACCGTCTCTCCTTCTGCACTAGCCCTTTTGCTGCACTGGGCTTTTTTTGCTGTTGGGCAATAAGAAGACAGAGTTGAAAGTCATCTCAACAGAACCACCGCTCCAGACCTCCATAGTGAGAACCAAATGAGGCTAAAAAGCAGAGGATCTGTTCTAATTTGACTAGGTGCATAGTTTTTCCTCTTACTGCCTGAAAGGCTGGCATCATCATTTGGGCTTAAGAAGTTGGTCTGAACAGGCAGGATGGCAGCAGTCAGCATGTACTCACCACCAGATAGCTGTGCCTCCCTGTAGAGCTATAGGACAAAAAAGGGCTCTTGAAAGCAACTTTGTGCTCTCTAGAAAGGAAGCAGTAGAGACTGAAGTCCTTTCCTTGCTTACAGGCCTAAGTAAGAGCTCCTCTAAACTGCCCTCCTACAGACCTCACCCTACCAACAGGAACCACCTTGTCAAAGGATACGTCTGCACACCAGTGCCAGCTCCACAGCTTTCTTCCTCTCTCTTCCCTCCATCTTTACCCCTGGCATTTGAAACCAGTGTCCATGTGAAGTCTTTAAGCTGTGGGGTGGCGTACGGCCGTTTTCTCGTGTCTCCCACTGTTCATGGGAAGTGTAGCCTTGGCTCAGAGCTACCTTCCTGGCGGGCTCACGGGGCTGGCTCTGCTCTCCCCTGTAAGCTGGGCAGAGGGGAAAGCACCGTAACGTGGAGCTGCCTTTGAGCCTGCTCTTCGTGTGCATGTGATCCCTTCACGTGGCATCTGAGGAGGTTCAGCGTTCGGTACCTTTTGTGCCTCACCTGTTCCACGTTAGCAGCTTTCCCTTTGCACCTCCCAGCCCACGCAGGGCCCGCTGGGAGCGAAAGCACATGAAACCGAGTCTGGGTAACGGACTCTGGTGTTAATTCCAGGGGTTTTACTTTGAAAACAAGGGAGGAAGAACTCCTGCTTTTGACAGTCTCTGTGCAAAGCTGCCCTATGACTAAAGCAGGCTCCTGTAACACTGCAGGCTTGTGTGGCAGGTAGCAGGCGGTGGAGCTGCCACACTAAGGACAGAGTAAGGTGTCCCTGTCTAGTGTCTCACAGCTCATTTGTAAGTTTTAGTTCACTGTATATTGAGACTTGGGATGTTACTTTTTCTGGTTGCTGTTGGCTGTCATCCTATGAACATTTTTACCTATTTCCTCTCCCTCACTGACGACTTGCTCCAGACTGACATGTGTGAGTGTATGAGGACTTGCCTGGTTTTAGAAATGCTCTGAGGTGTGGACTCTGCCTTGTGTGCTCGTTAAGTATCCGCTGAGCGACTTCACCCAGGCTGGAGAGCTTCATCCTCTCTGACCCCCATGAGCAGAAGGAACCGAACGCTCAGCACAGCTCACCTCTGCATCTTGCGGGCATGGTGCCTCGGTGAGCCAGCTGCCCAGGCGGGCCCGCTTAAACGCTAACTCGGCTGCTTTGATTCATGGAGTGCTTTTCTGGACCACAAGATTAATATATATATATACACACATACATGCATATATACATGTATATATATTAGTTTTGGTGGAGGAAAGAGGAGTTTGCTTATAACTGAGAGAGCAGGCGTTTGACAAATTTCTTTCAACCTGAACACGGAAACCTGGCATAATCTTCCTTTTTACAAAGCACTGTTTATGTACAGAGAGCCTTTTAATTGGCTCTTGTTGCATAGTATGTCACCTTCTCTTCCCTCTCCTCCTTCTTTCTCTCTAGCACATAATCTTCTGTACTTGGACGTTTTAAAAGATGATTGTATGGTGTAAATGCTCAGAGAATTGAAATGAAACAAGGGGGTGTCTAAAATCTGAAATAGCAATGAAATACATAACCACGTATATGTACATACCTATGTACACGTATGTTTTATGTGAATAATGCATACACAGACCTCTCTGTGTCTGCACATGCGCACACTCTTCCTCAGTCGCTACTATTCCATAGGGAATTCTATATTAAACTCGTATGCTGGAAACTCCCCTTGTGGCAGGCCTGGTATAGTGGAAATCGCCGTGCAAACCCCAACTGTTCTCGTTTTAGTGTTGATAAGCTAGCTGGTTAATATGTCAGAAAGGCTCTGCTTTTAATTCTGTAGACATTCATTAGCAAGGTGAAAGAAATTCAGTAGGGTGGAAAAAGAATAAAACTGCATATTTAGTCATTGTATTTAAATTGGAGCTGTGGTTGGAGATTCAGTTAGTGTATTCATGAGCAATCTCAGATTGTTACAGAAGCTTTTAGAGTCTCATTCTGATGGACTTACCCATGACCAGATACTCAGTGGCACTGATGTTAAGATAAAATACATTGTCTTAAGCTGTACAAAACATACTGAGCTCTGGGTTGAAGTTTTTAAGAAACATTCCTGCCAAGTCTGCCCCTCTCTGGGTGTTATCTGAACCATCTGGGCTTCCTGCAGGTTAACGGCCAAAGACAGGAAATCCAGCCGACTCCTGGAAGAGGCCCTTGGACAGTGCGTGCAGTCACAGTTTCTGCATAGGAATGTTTAACATCCTTCTTGTCTTTGCTCTGATCTGTATAATGCGATCTTTTTTTAAAAAACTGACGTGGAGCAGAAGTCGGCCCTTGGCTCTGGGAGCAAGCACCGCGTGATGCTGAGGCATAGCAATTAAAGCACTTTCTTAAAATCCTTCACATAGATCTAGCGCCTTTTTAAAAATATTTGCATGCTGCTTGAATCTCCTAAAACACATACCTCTGTCATAGCATCTCGAGCTACGCTGATGCATTATACAGATCAGATCAGGCTTGTGTTCAGTATTTGTTTTAGGTGTAGTAAATCTGCCTTCACTGAACTAGAGTGCTTGCCAAGTGCCAGCAAGACACCTGCAAGCCCGGATCTGTCCTCTCCTCTGTCTGTGATGGTTAACGTGCGCCAGGCGTTAAACGGTTCAGCGCGACTCCTGTGGGTCTGTTTCTGCTGTGTTAAAACGCAAATTGGAAAAAGATAACCTGCAAAAGCCATAATTAGGTGTGGAGATGGAACCGGAATGAGAACGCTGGTCCTGTCTGCGCTGCACCACGCAGCCGGGGGGGCTAACCCTCCGTGGTCCAGGCGCTTACTACCTTCTTCGGTCCCCAATTTGGTTGGGAAGCAAAGTGCCCGAGGCTCTTCCCCCGCCGTCCATGTGAGAACTCGCAGCTCCTCGGAGATACACAGATCTCCGCCTTCTCTTAGGTGATCTGTAGACAAAGAACCTGTCAATAGTTCTGTCCATAGTTTTACAGCTTATATTTATTTGTATCATCTCTTTTGTCTAGGAATGTAAAGTGATCCTAAAATACAATGTGTAATAAAGTCAATAAGATTTATTGCATCTATCAAAACGTGCCCATTTTTCATTCTTAACGTGTAAGCAATGGCAGGGTTCAGCGACTTCACGTTTTACGAAGCCTTTTTGTTATTTTTCTTCGAAAAAAATAAAGCCTCTGTGTGAACTGAATTATTATTAAGCGGTAAAACGTAACTGAGGGTAGCACTGCCTGACGTTGTGTTAGCGGCCGGCACATGGCACCCGAGGGACCCGGCCGGTGTCCCCCGCCGCGGCTGCAACCCCCCGGTGCTTCTCGCTAGAGGGAAGCAACGAGGGCAGCGGAGGCGATTAACCAACTCCAGCACCTCCGCCCATGGCGGTCCGGCCCCTCAGGGCATAACGCGGCTCCGGAAAGGCCGGAGCCCTCAGCCGGGGAGCGGCGGGGCCCGACATCTTCCCCGCTCGCCGGAGCCCGCCCTGCCAGGGCCGCTCCACCCCCCCCACCGCCGCGGCCATGAGGCGAGGGCGAAGGCAGGGGCCGCTCCCGGCATGCCGCGCGGCGCGGGCAGCGCCCGCCGGGAGCTGTAGTCCAGCGGCGGCCGAGGGTTCGCGGCGGTGGCGGCGGCGGGGACTACAACTCCCGGCAGCCTTTGCGGTTTGTTTTCCTTCAAACCAGGCGCCCGCCCCTCCGGTCGCGGCGCGCGGGCCCCCCCGTGTCCCGCCGCGGCCACCGTCGCAGAGCCCCGCCCCCTCCCCCCCTGCTCCCGGCCCTTTGACCCCGTTGTTATGTCGGGCCCGAGCCGCCGCCGCCGCCGCCGCCGCCTCCTCCCGTAGCGCCCGGAGCCGCCCCCCCCCCCCTTCCCCCGCCTCGCGCCCCCGCCCGCCCCGCCCCGCCTCCCCGCGCGCCCGCCCGCCCGCCCGCCCGCGCGCTCCTGCCCCGCCCGCCCGCGCGCCCGTCCGCCCGCCCGCCCGCCTAACGGTCCGCGCCCGCCGCGCCGCCGCCCCGCGCGGGAGGAGGAGGAGGAGGAGGAGGATGAAGGAGATGAAGCAGCGGAGGAAGAAGGAGCGCACGTGGGCCGAGGCCGCCCGCCTGGTGAGGCGGCGGCGGGGGGGGGGGGGGGGGGGGGGGGAGCGGCTGGAGTGGGGGGTGGGCGCCGCCCCGCCGCGGAGGGCCTGGGGTGGGCCCCGGGGAGGGGGCGCGGGGGCTCCACCGGGCCCCGAGGGGCCTCCCTCGCCGGGCCCTGGCTCCGGTCCCTGCTCCAGTCCCGGGGCTGGCGGCGCCGCCTGAGGCGGGTGGGCGGGGGGGGGGGGGGGTGAGCTGGGGTGGGGGGGCGGCGTCGCCGGTGCCCCCCGCCCCCGGGCTGCTGCGGCCGGTTCCCCCCCCCTCACCCCCCGGTTGTTTTCCATCTTGAGCCGGGGGGACGGGAGGACGTCGGCCGAGGGAGGGGGGGGCCCTCGGCCCGCTGAGGGGGCTCCGGGACGAGCTGCCCAACTCCCGGGGGCCGCCGCCTGCTCCCGCCGGGCCGCGGTGCGGGGCACCGGCGGGGCCCGGGACAGGCTCCCGGGGAGGTGCCGTCCCGCAGCGGCAGCGGGTCGGTGTTCGCTGCCTCGGTGGTTGCCCGCAGCCTGGCACGGGCAGGGCTGGGGCCGCTCTTGCTGTGGGCACGGTTCGTTTTCTTCCCTTTCAGACGACTTCAGGCTCAGAAGGGGGAACCGGAGCCCCCGGAGAGAGGCCTGGCCTCAAGTCTGGGCAGTAGCTGCAGTCAAAAGTTTCTGGTTGAAATTCCTGAGGCTGCGGGTTTCTTCCATGCACCAGCAGCGCCCAGAGCGCGGGCGGTGTGAGCCTCGGGGCTGGCATCGCTGTGGTCGGATGTTATTGTGTCACTTCGGGTTTTAGGAGACGTAGCTGCAGGCATGTCTTAGGGTTTTTTTGTCTCTGAGAATCTGCTTGTTGAAGGCTTAAACTTCCAAACCCCGGCCTGCTTTAATGGTGTTTGCGTAGGTTTGTTGGGACACTGCTGTCGTTTGACCGTTGCGGTGGGAGAAGGATAATTTCTCCCCATGAAGCGTTGAAGCCTGCCTTGAACCCCATTTATAAACTAGGGAATGTAAAAAGAAAAATAACTTTAGCGTCTTTCAGAACTAGGCAGAAGTTTTATTTAAGGGGTGCGTTTGGAGGTGTTTAGGCTTGTTGCTTTGGCATGGAGTGCTGATGGCCACCGCTCTCTGCTGCTGCAGCTGGCTGGAAGGAGCTTGCTCTCCTTGGCCTCTGCCTGGGAGCTGCTCGCTCTCGGTGACACGGTGACGCAGATGTGTGCAGGTACAGGAGTGCCCCTACACGGAGTAAGGGATGATCCGACTGCCCGCGGCCGGCGTGAGCGGATCTCTGGGGTTTCCTCCCCGTAGCCCTGTCAGCAGTACTCGACTTGTGAGGATATGGGTCTGCTTGCTGTCTAGTGTGTGGACATCTGTAGAAACAGATTTACAAGGCTTGAGGGTGTCTTGTTTCCTTGTTCTTACTGTTGTGTGTGTGTTTATTTTAGTTTTGCCTGGCCAGGCTATGCATCGGAGCACATAAATGTTCAGGAGGAACAGTATGGGTGAGTCCAGCTGAGACTCGTGTCTGCTGTTGAGGATGTTCAGGATAGGTCTTGGTTCTCCTTCTGAGTAAGATTTCTTTGGCTATCAGAGTGTTTTCTTACTGCTTGCCAGGAGGAAACCTAATCAGACAAGCATCTATCTTCCAGCAACTTGCATAATCTTTTGTGTGTAAATTATAATATTTTAGACCCGCATGACTGCGCTTGGAAAACTGGAGAAAGGCATAAGCTGGCCACTGTAGAGCTTCACTGCAGGAATCTGGTGGTGTAGTACTTGCTCATGCGTTTCTGTTTGAGATCCTGGTTCTGTGGGCCAGGCGCGTCGCTGCGGGTGGCGGGGATGCTTTCCTGGTGGGTGACCTCGGGGGCAGAGGCAGTGCTAGGTGACCTTGCACAGAGTCACCTCACTCAAATGCCCTGAGCTCTCACAGGTGAAAAAAATCAGTATTTAGAGCTGCCCAAAGCAGCACATGGAACTGTGACTCTAAAGCAGTGTCCTGTTACACTCCCACATGTGATGGGAAGGGGGTCTCTTCGCGCAGTTCCTCTCACCTGTCTTTTGGTCGGAACCTCAGGCGCGGTGGGTGCAGGAGATGTCTGAGCCTCAACAGCATCTTAGAGCCATTGATGAACCAGAAATAGAACGATCTCATGCTAGATTATCCACTTAGAGAGACCTGCAGTTGCGTAGCTGCACTTCCAGCTTGCAGGACTGATTGTAAATCCACTAAAAATAGATCTTTATTTAACACTAGTCTTACACATGCTCCCTGTCAAAACGCTTTTAATTTTCCTTTCTGACGCGCACTATTGTGTTTTGTATTCCTCCTGATGTTTCTGAGAATCATAGGCAAAAATGCTTTTCAGTGTTGCTGCTCCTACAGAGCTCATACTATACACATTCCATAAAATAAGCCTTTAAAGATTCATTTGAACCATAAGACTATTCAACAAGTGCTATCAGAACTAGATGTCTAGTAAATTAATTGGGGGAGTGATGTAAACTTCCACAATTAGGGACACAGGAACCCTTGACTTTCAGTATTATAAATAGTGGAGGGCCCAAAAAAAAAAAATCTTTTTTAGGGGTAAGGAAGAGCTAATGTTGTTTAATTTGAGCTCCTGGTGGAAGGGTGACGTGGCACCGGCAGTGTCAGGTCGGAGGGGGATGGAGGGCCAGTGCTGGGGACTGGGCTGTGGTGGCTAAAGCTGCAGGATCTGCTCTCCCCCAGTTCTTCCATTAAGCAATCTGTACACTTAATATAGCTGTTGATTGGAAATTGTTCCCCTGAGCGTAGATTCTTTTATCTTTATGTAAATGCTCGTTCATGCTCAGTTTTAGGCTGTGTATTTTGCTTGCTTTGCCTGTCACTTGAGAGAGGTTTTATAAGCTGTGAAGAATTTACTTATTTTTCAGAACAGGCATGTTGTTCCATTTTGTGGCTCTCTCACTTGGCTCAGGAGTGATGTGTTTCCCCTTGTCAGCCGTCTGCTCCCTTTGAGTGACGGGGGGTGACAGTGCATGAGGAGGGCTTGGCAATGTTGTAACCTGTGGAGGGGTTTTGATTAGTGGAGGAAAAAGTGTGATGGAGCTATTTTGACTCCGAATTAAAATTGTTTACCCTCTCTGAATACGACTTCTCACTTTCTTTGATCTTTTCTTTAAACCCTTTGTGTTTTCATTGTCTTTTATCTCAGGTTACATAGTTCTCAAATTTCTGTCCCCTACCAGGTTAACACCACTGATGCTTATGATCTTCAAGCATCTGAAAAATACATGTTGAATGGATATGATTTAAGAAATTCCTTTCATAACAAAATATAGCTGAAGTGCAGAACCACAGTGACGTGTTGGGTTTCTCTTTTCTTGGGGAGGTTGGAGATGGTGTGGAGATACAAATGGTGCCCTGCACAATGTAGGGGTTTTTGTTTGGGTGTTTTTTGTTTGATTTTTTTTTTTTTTTTTTTTTTTTTTGCCAATGTCCTGTTCATGCAACTCCAGAAGGCAGACTGCAGGCTTTGTGCCTTGCCACAGTGCTGCAGTGGCTCTGGTCTGGATGTAGCTGATATAAATAGGGCATTTGGGTTCCTCCACTGGCTTCGCACACAAGTCAAACTGAAAGGCAGCATCGTGTTGCTGGTTCCTCTAAAGCATGGTGACAAATGAAATCAGGATTGTGCATCATCGTGGCCATGACATTAGGGGAATTTAGCCCACGGTCATGATCAAGAAGTTCCCAGGTGAACACCCATTGCTGCTTTTCTTGGATGTTTCCAGCCATGCTCTGGGCCTGTATCGCAGCCTTTTTGCTCGGACTTTCGCATTCCGCGCGCGGCGCTGCCCGCTTCACGGAGGGCGCAGGAGGCGGCGCGTGTTCGGGGGCTGTCGGGGACTCCGCTCCCAAAGAAACGCCGTGGCTTAAATCTACTGCAGCTTATTTTTGTTCACTGTTTCCTGTTTATGTGGGTAATCTTCTTATCCGCAGAAATGTCCAGTCCCCTTTTTGAAGCCTTGAGTTCTTGCTTGTAGACATTTTGGAGCAGTAAGTTCCACAGACAGAAAAACAAAATAAAAATGCAATAGCCTCTTTAGTTCTTCGCACGTAAGTGGCAATTCTATTCTTAATATAATATATGAAAGGATGAGTTGTTATTTATTGTACTGCCTTTTTAATACCTGGTTTTACTGATTTTCTTTCAAAGGCAAGCAGTCCAAATCTTTTTAGTGTCTCAAGCCATAATTTTTTTTCCACATCCTTTGCTGTTACTGTTGTCCTTTTCTGAATTCTGTCCTTCTCTGACAAGAATTCTGACTCTTACCCGTGGTACCCTTCTTGAGATGGAGCGAAGATGAAATGAATGCAGTAATCCAAGGAAGGTACGCTATTGAATTACATAGTTGTACAGTAATACTTTTATTGGCAGAAAAATACTGGATGCTTTATTGAGAGGTAGGAAGGTATATGGCAGGGAGAACATTTTATGCCATTAAAGGTCACTAACCACTTTAGAATTTTGAATGTTGTATGTGGCAGCAGCTTGGCCTAATGTATATTGAAGTCTGTGGTAAAGCTTCCACTGGTTTCATGCCATGGGGTCAGGGCCAAATTCTGCTGCTTTTTCTCTCATCCATGTTTGTATTTCAGTTAATTAGGGACCAGATTAAGGTAAGCCTTTTGTGACGCTTACCATGGTCTAATCTTGAGATAGTCTGAAATTTTTAGCATGTGTCTTTTGCAGATGAACATGAGAGGCATATTATTGGATCTGAACTGCGGCTTATGGAGTAGTTCTGTGAATGCAGAAGCAAATTCTGAAATGACACGTGGTCTTTCTGTCTTTTCAGGTGCTGGAAAATTACTCTGATGCTCCTATGACCCCAAAACAGATTCTGCAGGTCATAGAGGCTGAAGGACTAAAGGAAATGAGGTTAGTATTGATGATCTTGTCTGAAACAGTGTGGAGCGTGGGGGAGGCTGCATAGGAAGGCTTGTGTTCCTTCGTGCAGTTCTGCCTCATCTTCAGCCCACTTTTCTTCTTTTTTTTTTACCTCTTTCCAGCATGGTACTTTCAGGTGACAGCATAGACATTTATATACAGGTTGTAGGGTGTTTTTTTCTTTGACAATAACTGGAAGCTGTTCTTGGATTTTTTGATAGCATACAGAGTCCCCTTCGTCCATCTATTGTAAAATAAATGCCTATTGCAGATCAGACTCCTGCATTGTGTTGTACTTACCACTTACTTGTATGGTGTTCTCATAAGCCGCTCACAGTAGTTTCTGCTATTGTGACTCCAGTTTGAGAACAGGTTAAGTTTTGTTCCTGCTGACGCTTCATTTCTAGAGCGGACATTATTTTTAGGAGACTCAGAAAAGTCTTCCTTATATTACTCTACTGGCTTCTGCTCAGATTTTTGAGCACCGTGATAGTGCAGCTCACAGTGTTGTGGCTCTTGACATTGTACAGAGGAGATGCCCATCTCAGTGTGGGTTTCATATGGAAAAGAACCTGATGTGGAGCCTTGGAAATGACAGGAGTGGGAGACTGTTTTCCTTCGTTAAGTTCCTGTGAACTTCCATCTGTTTCTGTGACAGTAGTAGAATAGAAATACAGAGTGTTGCAGATCAAAATAGGCAACCATGATAGTCCAAATGCCTCAGTTAGTGCTGCGTGGCAAAAAAAGAAAGTTTGACTACCAGAGGCAGAAAAAACTGTCTCTTTTGGCTGCTGCCCATTGATTGACTTCTGGGGAATCCAGATGCATGGACTGTTCCTAGTCTTGCTTGCCCCTCACCTTGGTTCTCTGGACTGTTTTCCACTGTGGTGTTTGCCTTTCCTGAACCTGTACTGTACCTGGCTACAGAAGGTAAGTTGATTTCATCTGGGATCTACAACTCAAGATGGTAGCTTGTTTCTGCTCTTTATTTGTGCCTGAAATCAGGAAGGAGCTGGGATGGTTTGAACAGTGACAGTTGGTGATGGGTACAGAGGTGTCTTGTGTAGGAATTGCCATTGTTTGGAGGGGGACGATGCTGATGCGTGTTGCTGCATCGATACTGGTGCTGTTAGAACACCCACCTGCCACTGGCGATCCTTTCCGAGGAGATCTTCACTGGTTTGGATGTGGGTGGTGGTTTCACAGCTCTGAGTAGAATTCAACAGGCTTTTAACGAGGACCTTCGTTCAGCTTTGTTTTAATCAATACTCTGCACCTTTCTTACATCAGTCCTATTACTTAAGCAGAGATTTGAAGATCTACATGCGTAGGCTGCCCTCTGCTAAAGGTAACAGCAGGTCTCTTTTCACACACCTAAATTACCTGGGTGCTCTCCCAGTTTTGACAAGTGACCTGTCACAGTACCTAACTAAAGACCAGACTTTGGAGCATGTGTCAAGTTAAATCCCACGGAGCTAAATTGTTCCTTTAAAGGTCGGTGTTTTTCCCTTGGGATATCTGTTTTTCCTTCCTCGGTCATTAATTCTCTGCTTTTAGAAAAGACTGTTTTCCTCGGAGCGTGATTGTTCACAGAATAAAGGCAGTGATCCTGCCTAGCTAAATATGCCACGGGCTTGGCCGGTACGTGTATAGAAACCCTTCCTGAAACTCCATTTCCTGAGGGAAATAGCTTGGTGGCTCGAGACGTTTTTCCCTTTGAATCAGTACGGAGCCAGTGTTCCCTGGTTTGGGGTCACGCTGCTCTGCTGGGAGCCCCGTTCCTTACGGGTGCCATTAATGGTCCTGCTGATGCTCAAGCCAGGACACTGGGGCCCAGCACCATTGCCGAGTTCTAGCTTCCAGGAGAGTTTTAATTGTTTGCTTTTTTTCTCAGTTTGGGGAAAACTTTTTATTTTGCCGTTCTAAGAAACCCTGTGGCTGGGTAGCGTGCTTGAGGCGTCTGTTAAACACAGAAGGGAAAACACCAACAGGACAGAAGGGTGGAAATTTTTTCATAGTATCTAAAAGTGACACGGGGTTATTTTGTCTGTTGCCAGTGCTTGTGAAGAAATGTCCAAAAAACAAACTCATTCAGGGTAGAAACAGAAATTGCTTTAAGTTTTCGATTTGAGAATTATTTTCTTTGAAATATTTTGACTTAATCCAATTTTCGGTTTCACTTTTAGTAAGAAGGAAATCGATACTGCTTTAATATCTCTTCCAGGTAACTTTCTGCCTGTGCATGTGTGACTTACTGGAAAATATGAGATTGCGTGGCACAGAAGTTCCGTCAGTGTGAGCGTAGGACGATTGCTTTAACCAGGGAGTTACGTAGGACTTAACAAATTAGTGCAGCAGACCTTTTTTAACTAACTCTGCTAGTACACTTTTGTCTGTGATACATCAGGGAAGACATTCTAGAAACACGTATGTGTACAATTTATGTTGGTTTTGTTTACATCTTTCTGCTGCTGAGTAAATCTGGATTTTTTTTTTGTAAAATCAGTCCAACTCTGAAAGTTTCAAGCAGAGAAAAGGAGGAAACAGGTAATAAAAGCTAGGAACGTCTAAAAATGGCTGAGAGTAACTTCAAAATTGGCACAACATTTCCTGTTTTCTGCTGATTGCTTTGCTGTGGTGTGTTATACAGGTCAGAAAGGAAAAGGGTAATACTGCTCTGACGGAGGTGCCCGTCGCCTGAAGTTAATGAGCATCATCTCTGTTCCCCTCGCTCAGCTAAATGGTGCCCATTTAAACAGACCTTGCAGGCCGTTTTCTTGATAAGGCTATTTCTTAAAACTTACTGTTTCCTTTTTCCCTCTGTTTCAGTGGCACTTCTCCCCTAGCCTGCCTCAACGCCATGCTCCATTCCAATTCAAGGGGAGGTGACGGGCTCTTCTACAAATTGCCTGGACGCATCAGCCTTTTCACACTCAAGGTAAATGCCGAGTTCCCGCTCTGAGCTGAGGGCCGAGGTGCAAGTGCTGCTCGTGAAGCGTAGCTGAGCGTCAGGCTGCCGCCGAGCTGAATGTGCTGCGCGGGAGATCAGCGTCTCACAGAGTGTCTGCAATTCGTTATTTCATTAGAGCTTGTACCTTTCAGCTTTATTCAGCCGCATATGGTCAATTCCTCTTTTAAAAACCCTATTATTTCTTGAGTTGCACAAACAAGATAAATCCTCTTATTCTAGTGCTTGGTGTCCAACCCAGGTGGCTGCTTATCAAGAGTCCCATGCACTCCTTTTCGGCCAGCCACGAGAGAACACAGCCAACTGATAAATGAAACTGGTCCAAGAGCTTGTAGCTACGAGTAAAATCTTGATAGGAAAACGTATATTCATTCCTCTGGTTATTTGTTTTGTGTTCCACTGCATTCTGTGTATATTTAGCATCACCATTTTCCTCTGATCTTGAGGCCTCTCTGGAATGTTTGTCCCAGTAATCTTAAATGTTGAAAATGTTTCTGGTCTTGGGCTTTTCTTTTGCATTGTTCTATACTGTTAGTTTCCCTGATAAATCTCCGCTTGACAGACAACATGCATCTCAGTTATTTCATTTTCATCTTTTTTTCTGCTGTCAGAAAATATTATTGAATTGCCATATTTTGCTGAAAACAGATGAAATTGAAATGGCTTTGATTATACAAATAGTGAATACATCTCCTCAGCTTACTGTGTAAGTAGTTGGCTACTCTGCTGCTGCCTGTTCTTTCACAGTAAGAATCAGATATTTCTCTTTATTAGAAATTGCTGACTTGCAGAAAAATGTGACGAATTATTTACATATTTTGGATATGTTTGAGTTACTTATCTAAGAGGCGTCTAGAAGGTGTGCTAACAGTATAGATGACTTCTGTTCCACTGTGAGCCCAAATATACTTTCAAATATCTTTCTGCTTCAAGGATTGAAATAGGGAAGATGAAAAACATTAAGCTTAAACCCTACATCCACCAAACCATCTGCTCCCATTGGTTGAAGTTGGAGCGGTTGGGAGGGAGGCCTGTAGCCACCCCGGTTCTGTTTGCCTGTTTAGAAGGATGCCTTGCAGTGGTCTCGGAATCTGTCTGTGCCAGAAGGGGAGGAGCTGGAGGATACAGCGGATGCAGAGAGTTGCGAGTCCAATGAAGCAAGCACTGTGAGTGGTGATAATGATGGTAAGTGTCTAGTGACATTAAACTGAAGTTATAGGATCGACTTCTGTGTCTGACTGAGTGCCCGTCCCTTTCAGTGTCTCTTGATGAAACCTCCTCTAATGCCTCGTGTTCCACGGAATCTCAGAGCAAGGGACCCGCTGCTACCCGGGAGAGCTGCAGAACCGCCTCCCAGGTAGGGAGAGGTGGGACTAAGGGGAAGGCTGAGCCCTCCCAAGGGGAGCTGTCGTCACTGCGTGATAGTTGGGTGGCCGTGACAGGGACTAGTTGTGCACAGGTGCCTCGGGGGAGTTGTGGGGCTGACCACTGAGGGTGGGGAGTTTGCAGAACGGGGAGGGATCATGTCGTTTTGAATTGTCTGCAATTCATAAATGTAATGGCGCCTGAAGAGCCACCTAGGAGCTAGGCAGCTCTTTAACTGAGGAACGTGCTGCTTAGAAGATTATTTTGCCCCTCCCTAATGTCTTTGTTCCTTTGTTTTGTTTTCGTTTCTTTCTGGTCTGCAGACAACCAAACAAAAGAAAAAGACTGGTGTAATGCTGCCACGTGTTGTCTTAACACCACTGAAAGTAAATGGGGCACACATGGAGTCTGCCTCTGGTGAGCATCACTTGTGCTGTCGTGGTTTTCCAATGACTGCATAGGTGGCTTTTAATCAGTAGTCCCTAGTTATCTGTAACTTTGCTTGAGGATTTCTTTAACACTTGATGAGCATGCGTGTGACTGTAGAGAGTTGTGTATATGTTCAACTCCAAAATAGTTGGTAACCGGGCAATATCCTGTAATAGTGGATCTGTTATTAGCAGGTAATTCTTGTATGTTAAACTGCTCTCCAAGTTGGGCTTCTGCCGTTCTTTGCCTAATTTTATGAAATTGTTTTGCTTTTAGGCTTCACAGGAAGGCATGCCGATGGGGAGAGCAGTAGCACATCCAGCAGCAGCAGCAGCTCTATGGCCCTGTGCAAAGCCACCTTGCGTAGCAGAACAGAAATAAACAGGGATCCTCCGCAGCTTCTGCGAGGCATCCGAAAGCCCACAGCTGGTAGGTGCTTCTGGTGAAAGTTAGAGGAATAATTGGCCATAAAAGCAGGCGGTGTTGAAGTCTGTGTCTGTCTGAGAAAGGGACACCAAGGTTCTCTTCCTTTGGAAGTCATGTGACAGTCCTGAGGCTTGCAAGCCAGACCTTCCTCCCCAAACATTATTGAGACAATTGTTTAGAAGTTTGCTCACTCTGAAGAGCAGCATCAAGAATTGTACCTGAATGACAGGAATGGGGCCTCCTATCACAATTCCAGATGCACATTTATTATTTAGTGTGTTTGAGAGCCTGTCTTCGTATTTGAATACTGCAGTCTTTTCTCCTGTATCTTCCTCCTTTTGCTGTAGTAGCTTGAGATTAATTCCTTGCCCATAATGAAATATTTTGGTACAACAATGTTTATTTTACTTGCTTGTCCTTAAACTACAGGGCAAATGAAACGAAACAGGGGTGAGGATATTGACTTTGAAACACCCGGTTCCATTCTGGTCAATACAAACCTGCGAGCTCTGATAAACTCCAGAACCTTTAACGCGCTCCCGTCGCACTTCCAGCAGCAGCTTCTTTACCTCCTTCCAGAAGTTGACAGACAGGTACGAGGGTGCAGCACTTGGATGTTCCCCATGCATCTCCTCCTGATTGCAGGCCACCTGAGCAAACGTTTTCTCTTTGTCCGGGGTTTGTCCCGTTAGGTTGGGGCCGACGGGCTGATGCGCCTCAGTGGCAGTGCTCTGAATAACGAATTCTTCACCCACGCCGCGCAGAGCTGGAGGGAGCGGCTGGCTGATGGTGAGTGGGTTTGCTTTCCTAGGTGGCTGGGAGGATAGGTACTCATTTTGTGGGATTTGTTTGTTTTTCTTTGACGGTTAATGAATGGGAATTTAGTCCAGCTTTGCAGTGCATCTGGCTATGTTGCCCCCAAATTCTCTTCTTTTTTTTCTTTTAAATTCAAAGATAAGTATTCCTTTGGTGACCTTCAGAACAAAGTGGTGGAGGTATGAGTAGTACCAGACTTAACTTTCCTTAAATGGCAGCCTGTGTCTGGTAAAACATGGTGGGTTTGTTTTTTTTTTTTTTTTTCAGACTTGCTTGAGCCTGTGTGGCCATTGCCCTTAAGGAGTTGCAGGCAGCCTGTGGATCCATAGTAGGGTGGAGAGCAGGGCAGTAGTAGAAAATCTGTCCTTTGTATATATAGCTACTGTACTGTTAAAACACAACAGGTTTTACTTGCAGAATTGGTTTTGTTTGGAACTGAATTTCAGTCTCTTGTTTTCCTGTAGGTGAATTCACTCATGAGATGCAAGTTCGAATTCGGCAGGAGATGGAAAAGGAAAAGAGAGTGGAGCAATGGAAAGAAAAGTTCTTTGAGGACTACTATGGACAAAAGTGAGAAATTTTACCTCATCTGTCCTGGTTTATCTGTCTCTAGGCAGGTGGCAGAGTGTGTTTCTGCTTGCGGATACCTGAGAAGATGCAGCATAAATTCCTTGAAAAATACAGGTCGTGGGGTGAATCATTCAGTCTGTTGCTCCAGGGAAATCCTGAGTGGAACTGGCTGGGTCACAGCAGAATTTTATAGCTCATCTATTTTGTTTCCAAGTCAAGTTAATATTACTCATTTTCCGTCACAGATCTTTTCTCATTCCCTGTGATAGTAACGTGAGATAGCAGACGTATAGGCTGTCTCGTTGCAGACTGACTTAATGAGGTTTTGAGGAGGCTTTGCTTTGTGATCTGTATGTTACTGTGTAGGGTGGCACGCAGCACAGCTATACGTAAAAGATGAAAAGCTTCAATTAGGATGGGCTTTAGCTTTTAGCTAGTTTTTATGTTTGCCTCATAGGTTGGGCTTGACCCAAGAAGAATCCCAGGAGCAGAATTCGGTGCAAGAAGATGCTGAGAACAGGACGGGACTCTCTGCTAAAGGAGAAGCGAGGCTGCCGCGCGGTCCTTCTACACGGCAGAGAGACGGGCACTTCAAAAAACGCTCCCGGGCCGACCTGCGGTGCAGAGCCAGGAGGAGCCTGTACAAACTGCGTGAACCTGAGCAGACAGAAGCTGCCAAAGAGACTGCTGCTGTGGGAGCAGATTCCTCTCTTCGTAAAGAGACAAAGCCCGAGGCGGACCTGAAGAAAGACGACCCGACCAGCCCGTCGGCTGCGGGACTGAAGCCAGAGAGTTCAGAACTGCACCTCTCTCCAGAGACTTCCAAGCTGCACAGTAAATCGGAAGATCTGTCGCTGGCAGCTGCGGACAGAATTCCCGCTTTGCCCCAGGAGAACTCTGCTCGGGACTCCAAGGACCAGAAGAGGAAATGCTTTGAGGAGGCTGCCTCTGCGTCCTTCCCCGAAAAGAAGCCCCGGCTTGAAGATCGTCAGTCCTTTCGTAACACAATTGAAAGTGTTCACCCAGAAAAGCCACAGCCTACTAAAGAGGAGCCAAAAGTCCCACCCATCCGGGTAGGAAAGAGAATTACAGCTGCTTGGTATCTCGGGGCTGTTATGCTCCCTGGTATCAAAACATTTGTTAAAATGCCCTGTGTTGTCATCTTAAGCGAAGAAGTGGAAGGGTTTCATTGGTAGGGCTGGCTACGCGCCCCTGATTACCACAGTCTACTATCTTATTTAGACAGGCAAAGAATGGAAAATCATTCCAAGGTCCTTGCACAAGAGCGCAGAGTAACCTTGACTTTCTCTGTTAGTTTTCATTTCTGTGGATACAGAAATCGCTTTTCCTGAAACTAGCTGACTTGTTGCAAGAGAGACCTTCACATTGTGTTCTTTATGCTGCATAGTTTCTCAGTTCCTTAACTTTTGGGCAGACTCTTAGCATTCCTTCTGACTTTTCCTGTTTTGACTAGAGGTATCCATCTTGCTAGCTTCAGGGAAGTCATCCTGATGTAAAGGAGACCATTTTGATTTCTGAAATCGCTTATTTTGTATTTATCTGCGGCCTCTGGTAAAACCATATTAACTGAGCTTTACATATCGCATGACAGCACGTGAGCAGAGGCTACGGGGAGCATGCTACTTCTCTGCCAAAATTAGGTTTTAAGTCGGAATTTTAAATCTCTGTTGAATCCTCGTGATAAGAATTGTGATGAACAGGTGCTAGCAAATTGCATTTCACTGTCTGAGAATGGCCAAGTGTTAGAAGTAACTGCTTTTTCCCTCTCTTTCAGATTCAACTTTCACGTATTAAACCACCCTGGGTGGTTAAAGGTCAGCCCGCTTACCAGATATGCCCCAGGATCATCCCCAGCACGGAGCCCTCCAGCCGGGGCAGGACTGGGGCCAGAACACTCGCAGACATTAAGGCCCGTGCTCTGCAAGCCCGAGCCCAGCGAGAAGCTGCTACAGCCGCCATCGGAGGTGGGGGTGGCCCGGGTGGAGGGAGAAGCCCTGACGAAGGAGGTGGTGGAGGAGCAGCCAGCAGCCACGCAGAGCACAGGAGATCAAAGAGAACTCACGGAAAGCGTTCGTCAGATCTACAACGAACACAATTACTGTCGTCTCTCCATCTGAACGGAGCAAGGGCTGACCCTGAGGTGGCTGCTCAGGAGGCTAACGCGAATTCCTTCCTCTCTCCGAGACAAGACCCCTTTTCTTTAAAGCGTGAGGGAAGCGGTGATCTGGAAGGCGCTGCAGGCAGTAGCTCAGGGGAGGCTCAGCCCGGTGATGGTTTGGCTAGAAGGCAATCCTGTGATGCTTTGACTGGGTCGTCCTTAGGCAGTGCAACCTCCGAGAGGCAGGAGGAGAGCCCGGAGCAGCTCCTCCGTGACCCAAGGACCGAAACCCCATCTTGTGTTGCATCACAGGAGAGGCAAAGTGCAAAGCTGAAACGTGTGGTTCCTCCAGTAAACGGTCTGTCGTGTTCTCAGGTGCCGGGAGCTGTGGGAGAGGGGGCTGTGTCAGAACTCAGAGATGTTAGTGCTCCCGCCGTGCAGTTGGATTATCACCCTGAGCTAAAGGAACATTCCTCCAGTTGTCCTGCCCTTCTGCCAGAATTGTCATCGGGTGGTAAGGGATGCCACGAGCCAGAAAGGGTATCTAGATTCAGATTTAATGGCTCTGAAACGTTTGGGGAAAAATGCGTCGCTGGCAGCGATAGCTCCCAAACGGTGACTGCTGGAGCGGAGGAAGCAGCCCCTGCGCTGTATGACGCTGCACACCTGCAGGCACGGAGAGAGAGCGATGGCAAACTAAATAATGAAGAACAGAATCCAGAGTCGCTGGTGAAACCCTCTTCACACAATGACTTCGGTTCCCAGAATAGGCTAGATACCTCTGAACAAGTGCAGCCGAGGGAGAGGTGCCCCAGAACAGAACCAGAAAGTGCACATCAGCCTCTGAGAGAGACGCAAGAGTTCAAGGCAGACGGAGATGATGAAATACAGAGTGTGCACAGTGAAACTACAGATACCGCTTCAGATTTTGAAGCCGACGAGAACGCAGAGATGGATATATGTTTCAGAAGTGTCAGCTGTCGGCAGGTGGCTGGGAAAGATTCCTCCCGTCACAGCAGCAGGGAGAGTCGTGATAGGATTAGATCAGCATCCTCTGTGGAAGCGGATAGTCTGGCCCGCGCTGTGGATTTCCCTGCAGTCGCAGCGACGAGCACCCCGCCTCCATCTCAGAGGTGGGGACCACCCGCCCCATCGCCCCAGAAAGCCGAGCGGCCGGCGGGTTCTGCTCAGCCCGGACCCTCTGCTGAAACCAAGAACCCTTTGGTGATGCAGCTGCTTAAGGGGAACCTTCCGGTGGAGGAAGTTCTCCCGGTGCCTCACACCAACATCAAGCTGGAAATTACTCAGCCGCTGCTGGACACGCAGTCAGAAAGCCTCTCCCTGCAACTGGAGAGAGGTAGCAGTTGCTTTTTTGGCAAAGAATCTTCTCCAGATGTAGGAATGAAGACGAGCGCCCGCAGCAGGGGCGAGGACTTCCACTCAGTGAGATCTTCTGTAGATCCCCAGGAAGAGAAGCGTGGAGCAGGGGCAGCGCTGCCTCGGGCAGAGGCTGTGGAGGATCGACCTATTCCAGAAAAACATTCCAAAGTTGGCTCGGCTTTAAGCTGCCAAGACCAACTGGCAAATGTGGCAAGTGCCTCGCAGAAGCCTGAAGATGCAGGCCCTCGGGAAAGAACATTTTCTTCCTGTAGCTTTGAGGAGCAAAAGGAGTTGTCCAAGGCCCACCGGGTGCCACAGCACAGCCCGTTGGCAAGCGGTGTCACAAATAAAAGTCCAGAGAAGTTGGACGCCGCGACGGAGCCTCAGTTTTTATCTCCCACTGTAACTTCTCTGGGTCCAAACCAGACTGGAGGCGCATCAGTCAATAAAAATTATGTTGGAGTTCAAGGCAAAAAACTCTTTGGTTCTGGTTTTCCTTGCAACCCCAGTGTGAGACTACATCACTCCAGGGCTTTGGATCAAGCTCCGGCCATGGGAACCTTGTCCCCCAGCAAACAGATGCCTCCGAACAAGAGCTGTGCATCAGGAGAAGGAGTGCCGGCTGCAAGGGAAGAATGGACTTCAAAGCAGCACACCGACGCCCTGGGAGGAATCAAAAATGAGAATGTGCTGGCGTGTGGCAGCCCAGCCAAGAGTAACGCGGAGAACCAGAAGGATGCAGCACAAAACCCCGTGGAGCTGACTGAGCACTTGCGAAGTGTTCCGCTGGTTATGGACTTGCCATTTTTTAAGTTTTCAAGGGGACCAGGAAAAGGACAGAGTCACCCTTTGGAGCCTTCTTCCGTACCCTCCCAGCTCAATATCAAGCAGGCATTTTATGGGAAGCTTTCTAAGCTGCAGCTTAATTCCGCCAGCTTTAATTATTCATCCAACACTCCAGCTTTTCCCAGAAGTCTTGCTGGGAGCATGATGCAGCTAACCCACAAAGCGAACTTTGCTGCAAACCGTAACACGTCCCTTTCCGTGCAGATGTTTGCCGACAGCGGCAGTGTTGACGAGATCTCCTTCAAGTGCTCGTGCAGCCTTAAAGCCATGATCATGTGTAAAGGCTGCGGGGCGTTTTGTCACGATGACTGTATAGGACCTTCTAAGCTTTGTGTATTGTGCCTTGTGGTGAGATAATAAATTATGGCCATGGGACAAATTGTATATTCGGTGTGTGTATTTTGATAGCGACTGATCCTAAGACCTGTACACAAAATACTATTCTGTTTATAGTAGAAACGCTCTTACACTTTGTTTTGGTGAGGAAAGCTGACTTCCCTTCCCACTAAAATCTCCAGCGCAAAACCCGTTCTTGCTCACGGTTCCACTCCAGTCTCGGTGGGCTGCGCCCCACGGGAGCCATCCTCCTGCTTCGTGCTGTCGTGGAAATACCGATTGTGCTCTGGTACCCGTGCTGAGGCCGACGCCTGGGCGAGAGGCAGTTCGCTGCGGCGACCCGTGGACCCCCTGTCGAGGAGACCTTTACGTCCAAAGGAACTGGAACAGGGTGTTTTCTATTTCAGGGCTGCGCGAGGTGAGGCCCTACAGTCTTCCACTCTTCCCCTCCCGCCACCTCCGTCCTCGGTTCGCGTGGGAGGCGCCGCTGCACAGCACGTGGGAGCAACGAGCTGCTCTGCCGGGCCGGCTCCGCGCGGGCTTGGGACGCTGCGTGGGGGCTGGTGCCCAGGGACGGGCCCCACGGGCGGCTGCAGAGCTGGATACAGCTCCCCCCCCCTGCCCCATCGCGGGTGGAGCCAACTCGGAGGATGCAAGAAAGAAGAGAGGAAAAAAAAAAAAAAATATAAAGTGGCAGGTGCCAAGAGAACGCCTTCGGCTGGTGCGCAGGAAGATGTGGGGCCCGGGGGCCTGGCTGCTGTGACGTGGGGCCCGGGGGGCCTGGCTGCTGTGACTGCTCGTGGCCGGCTGCCCCCAGCCAGCCCGGGGGACCGGGGATGTGGCCAGCGGCCCCGGCGTCGCAGCCCTGCAGCGGGGACCTTAACGCGGCAGCAGCTGGCCGCTTGCGAGCGTCTGGCTGTGCGTCTGTGTGACCATCACCTAACGTTTAAAGCAGTGGGGTTTTTTTCCTTTTATTTTTATATTTTCATTCTTGGATGTATAAAGTGAATTATTTGACTCCTGTAAGTAGCCTCTATGCATCTGTTTGATCATGTATTTATATGTTGTACACAGTACTGGCCAACTCTGTAAATGGATGTAATGTACATAGAACATAAAGGGTTCTTTTTTTTTTTTTTTTTTCCCCCCTTGGATTTTCAGGCTCTACAGCAGTATTGCATTAAATGGTGTTAGTTATTAATCTGCATCTGTAGTCAGAGCCACTGTATTCTCTCTTGCCTAACGTGAGGCTGGACAGGCAGCAGTGCCCCCCCCTGCCCTGGGGCTGGTGGTTCTCGCTGCTCCCGCCGAGCGAGCGCCAGTTGCGGCCGGAGCTGCGTTGCAGGGTGGCGAACAGCCTTGTGCAGCCAGAGATTGAGGGCAAAAATGGGACTCTTCCTCTTTGGAGCGATGACTTCCCAAGAAAGAATTGCTTCACTGAGGGCGGGGGTTAGCTGTTCTATTTAAGCAGGCACGGGCGAGAGTTGGAGGGGGGTTATTTTTATTTTTTTCTTGTCCCTTTTCTAGCTCTATCCTACCTCCCTTGACCATGCACCTTCGGGGTTTTTTTTAACTGTGCAAGTCCCTGTTTGAGATGCCGGCCTGAGGGCTGCAGCAGGTGTAGTCTCCCAACTGGTTTCTCCTTAAGGCTCGAGTTGTGGGAAGGGGGGAGCCGCCCGCGCACCCCGGGGTGCCCGCCCTGGGCGCTGGCAGAACCTGCTTACCAAAGATGGGGAGCGGAGCTGGGGGGCCCGGCGCTGGGGGGCCCGGCGCTGCCTCCCTCGGGGCCACGGCCGTGTGCGCGGGTGGAAGCGGTCGGGTTCGCAGAGCCCTCCGGGGGGGGCCTGCCCCTGTATGTCCCTTGTGCTGTTGGAAAAATAAACACTCTGTAAAACCTGCATTTGCGGTTTCAATCCTCTTTTTTTTTTTTTTTTTTTTTTTTTTTTTTTCTGAAGTCACCCTCTGTGCTTTCCGAGGCAAGATTGCTTTTCCTTCCCTCTTTTTGAACTGGGAGTGCTCCAGAGCTCTGCGCAGGAGGGGAGGGGGCCGCGTTGCTGCCTCGAGCTCCCTTCAGTCGATTTTTGCAGATAACTGAAGACGGCGCAGCTCCTGCAGCAGCAGCGGGGGGGGGGGGGGGGGGGGGGGGGGGGGGGGGGGGGGGGGGGGGGGGGGGGGGGGGGGGGGGGGGGCCGGGGCAGCCGCTACCCCGGGGCTCCCACAGCAGCTGCCGGGGCAGCTCCTGCTCTGCAGTCACCGCGCAGAGTGTTAATTGTCGGGTGGATGGATCTGAGAGTGTTCTCTAAGAGCGTAAGGATGTGATGCCAATTACACTGTTTATTGACCCTCCCTGTAAACTTCAGTGATGTGCCCTCTCTCTCTTTTTCTAGGTAGTCAGAAAATAACGCGAGTGACTTGTGTTACACCTCCGGTTCTGGGTGTGGATCTTCAGCAAATCAGACGGTGATCTCAGAGCTTGGGCCGCGGGAGCATTTGGATCCGTACGGTGATATAATGTCTAACTCCCCTCTGGTCTCTAGTGCTCCGGCGTGGCAACACCGCCGCGGTGGTGCCCCGCTCCCCCAGTTCCTCCACGCCACCACCGCTGGGGTTCGCTGGGCACGAGCGCAGCCTCCCCCCTCGGCTCCGCTCGCTCCAGAAGCGGGGTGAGAAGGGGGCCAAGGCTGAGGATTCCTGCGCTCGAGTGCGCGGGAAGCGCCGTCCCAAACGCGGGAGGAGGTTTCTGGTTCAAACGCTGCCTTGCGCCCGCTGGGAGTCGAGGTTGACCCGGGTGGGAACAGGGGTCCTGGCTGGAACCCGCCGGCCTCGGCACGCCGGGGGCTGCGGCGGCACCGGGGCAGCGGCTCTTCTGGCCGGGTTCTGTGGGTTCTGGTGGCTCACTGATGGGCTCCTGGCCCTGGCAGGCTTTGCCTGCGAGGCCCGAGTGTGGTTAAGGACGTCCAGATAATGTAAGACACGCTAAGGATGTCTAAGTAATGAAAAAAAGTAAGTAGTTTCTTAGATAAGCTTTAAAATCGCCAAATAACTGACATCAGGTTTTCTGTTGGTGTGGTGGGAGATGTCAGTTCCCTCGAGAATAGGGGAGCTTGGGGGTTTTGAGCATAAAACCCTACCGAGGTCAGAATTTCACACAGGGCAATATAGATAGATAGATATATATATTTTTTTCTCTCCGCGATGTTTCTGAGGGAGAACAGACTCTCTCTCGCAGACCCCCCGCGGCTGGGGCCGTGGCTCAGCGGGTGTTTCCGAAGCTGCTGGCGGTTGGTTTGCAGCCCCGGGGTGCCCGAGCCCCCGCCGCTTCCAATTTGGGAGCAAAGCTGGGCCGGGAGCTTGGAGTCGCTGAACCCGACTGAGGCGCTTGGCCTGCGGGGGGGGAGCCCGGGGAGCCCGGCGTGCTGGGGCACACGGGGGGGGGGGGCTGGTCACCTCGGGGGGGTCCGTCCGGGCATCGCCGGCAGCCAGAGCCGGGCCGGGCACAAAGCCGGGGTTTCCACCAAAGCTGCAGCCGATTTGACTCGTCTGTGCTGGGTTCTCCTGCCTGTCAGCCGCTGATGCACGTCAGGAGGTGGTTATCTACACGGCGCTTTCAGAGCAACATTTCGTGGATGCAAAGGTTTATTATACTTAGTGAATAAAGCTGATAACGAAAAATCAGTATTTTCCATGAGGGAGAGGGAGAACTTTCCACAAACTTCAATGAAAACTCCATTATTCTTTTTTTTTTTTCCTTTTTTTTTTTTTTTCTCACAAAACCAGACACTTCACAAAATTAATTTTGTCAAAATATAAGTTAAGCATAAATCTGTGACTAGCCCCACTTGTGAGTGCTAACGCTGCTCCCTATGGTACCCGCGCTGTCTGTTAAGGAATGGAAAGCACAGCTTACGTCAACATTTTTGAAAGATGTTGTGGGGTTTGTTTTGTTTGGTTTTTTTTTTTTTTTTCTTTTGACACCTAAATTTAGCCCCGCTCTGGTGACCGGCCGCGCTGACCTCTCGCCCGCGTAGGCTGGGGCTGGCGGCGGGCGAGGGGCAGCACCCACCGGTGCTCGACAGTGGAGGAGAAAGCCCTTTTTGTTATACAGTGTTTATTAAGTAGATTCAGTCTTATATATGATATACAGATTCAAAAGAAAAAAAAAAAAAAAAAAAGGATTCCACATACTTATGAAATCAGTGCATTTAGCAAGTAATACCATGGAGATAACAGCTTGATTAACAGCTCATTGGTCTTTGTTAAGTGAGGGGAACAGGGAGTTGGCCTGTGCTAATCATTCCACAAACAGAACAGAATTAAGTTGCATCACATATATAATAGACACACATTCTAAGAATTAAAATATTAAGCCACATTTACTGGAAAAATCCACAGTATATAACACAAATAACTCTTATCAAGCTCGTTGAGGAGGAAGTGCTCATCTGCTTAAGAGCCACATTAAGTTGCATAGGTGCCTATCTGCAAAATATCATTTCAAAATGGGTCAATTGATTAAGCGATAAAGTGTCACCTTCAAAGCTGGATTAAGTGCCATATGCTTCCTATCTGAGCGCTCCACAGAGCCGTCTTCTGCTTGGGTTGGGAGCCCCCCGCCTCCCCAGGGGACCCCCTCCCGCCCTCCCCGCCCGGGAGCCGCGGCCACCTCGGCCCATTTCCCCACGTTCCGTGAAGTGGTTCCAATTTCGCTGACGGGTGGTTCCCCCCCCCCATTTCCCTGCAAGCCCCCTCGGCTCCTGCGCTGAGCCGCCCGCCCGCGCCCTCGCAGGGGCAGCAGGAGGTGCTGAGGCGGCGGCGCGGCTCCGAGGTCTGGTGCTGCAGGTGACCGAGCTCCGGATCGGCTCTGGATTTGAATCGCAGCCAATCCGCAAATCGAGTACTGGGGGGAAAAAAAAAAAAAAAAAAAAAATAAAATAAATAAAAAAAAGCAATAGCTTGTGCAAAACCCAAAATTGCTTAAAGGGCGTTTCAATTTTCGGGGGCTCTTCCTCAGGGTAGGTTCGTGTGTCAGTGGGTGAGTGAAGCTGTGGCTTGGTTAAGCAGACGAACTGGGTGAGGTGCATCTTCCTCTTCAACAGCAGGTCTTGCAGAACAGACAGGGGCCGGGAGATCTGTACATGTAAACAGTACACTTTCACTGAGTCCAAAATTAGGAGCAAAAATACAAAGGTTCACATTGGTCTTAGGTAGATACAGGCGAAGAACTGAGCTGTACAGCTCCGAAACAACCAAACAAAAGTTTCTAAAGCACCACTAAATTATATAAAAATCAGACCATGGACGGATTGTAGTTGGTATTCTGGTGAAATACTATGCTACCTTGTAAAAAGTTTTACAAAAAATTACAAATCAAAAGCATATTAACCCTCTGAGTTCAAAGCAGCATTTTTTTTCATGAACTGGTACGAAATCCGACAGCCACTCGTGGGAGGGAAGTGGCCCTGTGGATCGGGGAGGTACAAGTTACGTCTGCTCGCAATCCCGGGAACGCTCTCCCATGTAGAAACACCGTCATGGGAACCGCACATCCAGGGCAGGATGGTTGTGTTGAAATAAAATAAAATTAAATTAAAAAAAAATATTTTCTCGACCAGTGATTAGCTTTTCTTAAACAAAACCAAGAACATCCAGACCATTTGCTAACCCAGCATTCTCCTTCCACCTCTCGGAATTATCTGCAAAGCCGGTGTATTCTGCTCCTGCTCACGCCTTCTCGTTGGGAACCCGGACTAGCGATTCCTGACCCCGTCCTGCCTAGTGAGAGCGCAGGGATGTGGCTGCGGAACAGTCCCGGAGCACAGAGGAGCCGCAACTGAGCACGGACCAGCTGAAGAGCACTGAGATGTCTGTGGAGCTCGCTCCAAAGAAACGATAAAGCTGCGGCTCACCGAAAAAAAAAAAAAAAAAAAAAAAAAAAAAAAGATCCCTGACAGAAATTCATAGTCAATCCCATTTGTTTCATAACTTGTCACAGATGTGGCTGTCACCGGGGCTTTGGGAATCTGAGTCTGTACCATTCAGCTGCAAGTTCTGAACATCAGTTGCTAGGACAGGGTAGACTGGGGAGACCCTCCGGTGCCACCGCGCGCCTCGGCTGCCTTCCGCAGCAGGTTAACAAAGTGTAAGAGCTACTAAACTTCAACACATGCTAAGACAAGTTCAAAGGTGATCTGGTAACGACAGCTAAAACTTGTATAAATAAAACGCTAACCAAACTGTAGCTGATGGTGATCTGTCCGTAAGCCCCTGGGTAACCTCTTTTTCAGTAAACTGGATGGCAAATTTATGGCTAAATGTTCTCGATGGCCTCTGACGGGGAGGGAGGCACCGACTCGGGTGGGATATCGCAGAGGGAGAATTCCGGGACAGCGATTGTCTCTGCCTCTCCTTCCTTAACGTTAAGACTTTCACAAATGGCTGCGGTTACATATTTTGTCAAAGGTTTTGTTACTTCATGGTATTCACACAAAAATAAATATTTACATAAATTCCAAGTATGGGAGGATGCGGTGGACAAACCAAGCAGGCTTGTGAAGTGCTGGGGAAAGCGTGAGCCTGAGCCCTGGCTGGGGGGGGGCTGGTGTCCCGGGCTGGCCCCCACCCCGCTCTCCGCCTGCCCAGGGCGGGGGGGACGGGGCGCTCGGCCCGGGGACCCGGGGCGGCCGCGATGCTCCCGGCTCCAGCATCGGCCCGGGTCTAACAAGCCACCACCTCATCTCTGCACGGACCCCCCACTGCACCGAACGGCCAGGGGTGAGGTCCCTTCGCTCCAAACGCTGCGGAAAGTTTCAGATTTGGGGAAAACAGTCAATGGAACGGTTTAATCCCTTCTGCTGCCGGGCAGGCGAGCCTGTCCTCAGGAGCCGGTGGCTTTGCCTGTACTAAGAGCAGGGCAGAGGTTTTGAGACTCTTCCAGTGTGTGGGGGAGTATGATCGGGTGTAATTGCTACTGAGTAAACTGCCCGGGTCTGCTCCTGGCCAGGACCAGCCGCTGCCACCGCCAAGAGCTCGAGCCCGTGCCAGCGGCGTCAGCCCCCCGGAGCAGCAGCCCCCGTCCCCCGGCTCAGAGCGGCCGGAAAAGAAGAAAAAAGCTGGCTCCAAAGAGAGAAAGTATCTACCTTTAAAACGAGCGTACAGGGGTTTAACGCTTATCGAATTGGTATCTCGCTGGGGGGCGGGGGGGGGTGTGAGGAGGAGCTGGGGTCCCCGGCAGCTCCGGGGTGCCGGAGCACGGTGCATTGCTTGGCTCGGCTCAGCAGCGCTGGCCTGAGCGCAGTCCCTGGGTTTAGCAGCACTGGTAGTAGGTATTGCACTGAGCAAAACGAAGTGCATTATTGGGGGGGGGGTAGAGGGGTGGGGGGGGTTGGAACGGGGCGTCGGACTACGGCTTCTCCACACTTTGGGAATCGTGGGCTTGTTCCAGGACTGCGAGCAGGGCCGGGGAGGGGGGGGAGGCCCCCGAAAGGCCTTTTGTCAGTTCTGCTGCCGGGGGGTGCCCGGCTCCATCCCCTGCAGCCACCCGGCATCGCCCCCACCACAGCCCGGCGGCTCCTAAAGGGCTTGTCCTGCCCCCCCCCCCCCCCCCCCTCCCCGGGGCCGCTTTCATGGGCGCTGGGGGGGGTGGGGGGCGAGGTGCCGCCGGAGCTGCCGGGTGGGTTCCAGCCTCCTCGGGTGGGTTCCAGCCTCCTCGGGTGGGTTCCAGCTCACCGTGCCCCGGGGCCGGCTCGGCCAGGCCTGGAAGAAGCCCACAATGGAGTGTGAGGTAGAGTACGGGTGGTGACCGCAAGACAGTGTTTCTCAGGTATTTCCTTCCTTCCTTCCTTCTCTTATCTGCAATGACTTAAATGAGCGCGAGACGTCCTTCTAGCCGGAGGTCTGCCGAGCGTGCCGAGGCTCTGCGGGAGGTTTAGACCCCCCTGCTGCTACAGGACCGCTTAGAACGGAGGTCTAAGCAGGACGCTTGCTTGCTCCCTTGTTCGGCTGCCACCTACGCTCACTGGAGGCTGAGCAGCCTCGGCGTTCAGGGCTGGATGGCAAACTTGCTCCCTGCGGGCCAAGGGCTCCCCAGAGAAACAGGCAGAGCTGCCTGGAAATTAGTAGTAGTGTAGTGATATGGAATGTGTTATTTCACAGGAATAAATTCCTTCTGATCAGACAGACAAAAAAACTGGCAATCTGTACAAACTCAAAAGAATCCATTTTCAGAAAAATAAATTACTAAGGGGAAAGGAGGGTCCATTTCTCAATAAATATGTGATTCAGCTCACCTAAGACTTGGAAATTATCTGGGGACGGGAATCTAACATTTGGGTCCACAAAGGTTATTCTAAATACATCTGCAGCCCCAAACCTCCCCAGGCTCCCTTCTGCCCTTGAAAGTCCCACATCCTTCCAAGCCGCAGGTTTGGCTCCTGGTCGGCCGGACGCACGGGTGTTGGTACGGTTCAAAAACGTGTCCTTGTGCCTGAAGTCCCAGGTGCTTGGAGTGTAAAAGAAAACAGGTCTTTTGGATTCCACCTTCTAAAACTACATGTACCCGCCGCTTCACAGGAGGACGATGGTGGTCCTGAGCAGGACACCGCTGGGAGCCTCTTTCTAGCAGGTATAAATTGTCTTCTCGACAGAGGAGCGACGCAGACACAGGGAGTCAGTTCTGCTGTAAAATGAGGTTTTCCAGTTCGTCTGCAGATCGAAGCAGAAACGCCGCCGACTCTCGGTAGCCGGCGATCAGCTGCCGCACCGCGCTGATCTCCGTGGGGCTGAGCTGGGCAGCCTGCATTCCCCTGCTGGTGCTGTTGGAGGGGGCCGTGCTGGAGGCCCCACCTTTCATGCTGAGATCGGTCGGACCTGCCGAGGAAAAGCGAGAGGGAAGCTCAGGCAGAGCAGCTTTGCAGACCGGCAGGACGGCCCCGGCAGAGCGCGCAGCCCCCGACAACGCGGGAAGCCGCAGCTCCCGCAAGGAGAGAGGCTGGAGGGGCCACGGGACGAAACGCCCGTCCTGCAGCCTGGCCCACCCGCTCTGCGACGGGTCGGGGTGTGGCTGCGCCCTGCCAGGAGCAAACGGTGCCTGGGGGCACCTGCCCCAGCAAAACCAGCCGCCAGGGTCCTGTTTGAACTCTGCCCGTGGCGAGGAAGGTCCCGCACGGGGCGTGTGGCCCTGGCTCAGTGCTGGGTAACACCACAGTGCCCGTCTGCGCCCTGCCCTGCCCGGGCTCTCACACCACCGCGGCCACCAGCGCGGGCACGTGCCTCAGGCAGAGCGGGGAGGGGGCTAAATGGTCTTGCTAGGCTGCACGCCCCTGTGGCTTACTGCGTAAATGAAATGAAGTCCTGCAAAATCGATGATCTGCCTGACGGGCAGGGATAATTTTTTTCTCCTAAGTTGGTCTTTGCTCCACCTCCATCACGTGCGATCGGCGTCTGGCCACGTACGTGTGTCTGTGCCCCGCAGAACAGGACACGCGGCTGCCCCAGGTCACAACCCACCCCCCACCCCCCCCCCCCCCGCCCCGGTCGCTACAGATCTTAAAGCTGCAAAAAGTCAGGAAATTATCAAGAGCCAGGAAACAGCACCGGCCGCTGCTCTGGCTGTCTGCAGACACGCGTGCACAACCACGCACACGCGTGGGCAGCCCTGTTGGGGTGGCCGGGCAGGGAAGGCTTGGGGAGCCGCACAGCCAGGGGAAAAACTGGATTTAGCTTTGTGGTGGGCTGAGAGAAGCCAGACAAGGTGCAAGAACCACACGCTCAACCAGAAATGGAGAGAAGATGAAAGACGTGTGCTAGAGATGCGATACTGGTCAGGGAGAGGAGGCAGGCGAGGCTGCAGCCTGGGGCAAGGAGAAAGAGAACACACCAAACTAATTAATCCCGGGGCCGTGGGCCGGAGCGCTGCAGCTGCTGGAGCAGTGGGTGATGCTGGAGAACAGCTCCGGGAGGGCTCAGCTCCTGCCGGGTGGCCTGAGGTGGGACACGCGGGAAGGGGGAGCCGGGAGCGGGTGCCGCAGCGATTTCCAAACTGGGAGAGTTCAGCAGCCTCCCCGCCCCCCCCGAAACCAGGCGGGTCCCACTGGTGACCGGCGGCAGCAGGGGGGAGCACATCGCCCCGGGTGGGGAGGAAAGCGTCCAAGGAAAGCAACGCTGGAGCAGCAAATGCCGTGGGAGGAGAGGCACCAGCAGAGGACTTCCACGGCAGGCTAATCAGCACTGCAAGGGGAGGAGGGGAGGAGGAGGAGGAGGAGGAGGAGGAGGAGGAGGAGGAGGAGGAGGCGGCTGTCATGCAAAAGCAATTTCACTGGACAGAAAGGGCAGCAGTAAACGGAGCCCATTTCCTGGCTCACCAAGGGGGAAGGAGCTGGGAGTGGGGATGTGGGTTTGAGCAAGAATCGCCCGGGGGGGGCGTGGAGGGAGAAGACAGTTCTGGGCAGCAGAGCCCTGCGGGCTTTCTGCTCCCGGAGGGCGGGGAAGGCGCAGCTCCTCGCAGCCCTCCTCGCCAGCGCCACGGCTGAAGGACCGGGCAAGAGCTTGGGCAAACAGGGGAGAATCGTTGTGAAGCAGAGGTTTCAAAATCCATTAGAAAGAAGCAAGGCGCTGCTGCGTGCTGCTGCTGTGCGCTACACCCAGGGCCTGCCTGCTCCTCCCGGGGCATGTGCTGCTCGGGGAGGAACCACAGCGACCTCGGCCGTGGCTGCAAGGATTAGGGCTCAGCAGCTGGAGGCTGGGGTGGGATCTTTATTCAGGGTTAAGAAGCATTAGGAAGGGATGATAAGAGTTAATCCCAGACAGGCATCTCTCATGGCTCTGGAAATCACATCCTTCCAAATCCTCATTCCCCTCGGGGTGGGCAGGGCAGGAGCCCAGAGCGCACTGGGGCAAGTGAAGGCAACCCGGAGGTTGCCAAAGGACTGGCCGAGGGACTGGCTCCAGCCCCTCCTGCCACCGCTGCGGGAGGGCAAAGCCAGAGGGCTGCCCAAGGGGGGGACCCTCTGCCCCATCCCACAGCTCTGCCCCCCCGGCTGCTCCGCTCCCTTCGCCTGCTCCTGCCTCAGCCGTGCCCGCTCTCCCCCCGCCGTCCCGCCCCGCAGCCTCAGCCCTGTTTCCCGGCTGCTTTTCCTGCAGCCCCAGCCCCTCATCGCCCTCCCGAGCTGTGGCAGGAGCTGGCTGTGCCCCGGGTGCTGCTGCGGAGCCCCCGAACCTCACCAGCCCTGTCCCCGTCCCCATCCCTGTCTCCGAGAGCGGCTGACGCAGGGAAAGGAATGGCTCATACCAGTAATGAGATCAGGGCAGCGATAGGCGCCCGCTCCTGTTAATAATTAATAGCTGGTACAGATTCTCCTTTTTTTTTTTTTTTTTTTTTTTGAAGTGACACTCCTTCCCTCCACCTAGACTGTCCTTCCAAGTTCAGTTCAACAATTAACCGCCCACTGATGAGGCAAGCTGAGCAGCTGGGCAGAGGCGTCCGCCGGCTGCAGGGGCTTTGGGCGCAGCGCTGCGCAGGGGCAGAGGTGCTGCCGTGTCCGGGCCTGGCGGGAGCAGCCCGGGCCAGTCCCAGGTCCCAGGTCCCAGGTCCCAGGTCCCAGGTCCAGGTCCCAGGTCCCAGATCCCAGGTCCCAGGTCCCAGGTCCCAGGTCCCAGCTCCAGGTCCCAGGTCCCAGCTCAGGTCCCAGGTCCCAGGTCCCAGGTCTCAGGTCCCAGGTCCCAGGTCCCAGGTCAGGTCCCAGGTCCCAGCTCCAGCTCCAGGTCCCAGGTCCCAGTCCCAGCCCAGCTCCCAGCTCTCAGCTCCCAGCTCCCAGCTCCAAGCTCCCAGCTCCCAGCTCAGCCGCCCTGTGCAGGATGCCAGGGAGTGGGTGGCGATGGCTGCGTGGGCTCCCCGTGCCGCTGCCGGCCCCGGCGCAGCGTGTGGCCACTTACCGTTACTGTGGTTGCCCGTCTGGAGAGAGGCAGGGGGCTGCAGGCTGCCCCCCAGGGACCCGTAGCCACGGTAGCTGTAGTTCAGGCTTCCATTGATGTAGACTGGGTCTTGGGAGTAAGATGAAGCTGGCAGTGAGTAGGAGGAGTGGGTGATGGCTGTGGAGTCTCTGGAGTGCTGCTTGTCGAGAGCGATCGGCTCGTCCTGCGCGGGGGGAAACACAAACTTACCAGGGGACGCCTGGTCTGCCCCGGCCGCAGCGTGGCCAGCCCAAAGCGACGTCCCCGGCCCCGCCGGGCTGAGTCTCAGGACGCACCACGGCACGCCGCCCCCGCGGCCCTCTGACTTTCAGGAAGACTTTGAAAAACGCTTTGCCAAATCGCTCAGGAAGGTCTCTCCTTTTCCCCGCCCCGCCGCAGGGCGCCGTCGGCTCCGTCCCTCGCCCACCTCCGGCCGCGAGCACCGTACCTGGGAGGTCTGGTAGATCTCCAGCCGCATCCTCTTGGCTGCTTTCCGCGTTTCGCTCTCGCAGGCGGCGGCCAGGATGTTCTCCGCCATGGCCGAGGTCAGGTGCGGCGGCGTGGGCCTGGTCTGCGGAGACACAAGCAGAGAAGGCTCTCAGGGACCTGCTGCCCCGGGGCGGCGGCGAGCGGCGGGGCGGCCGCTCACCATCTCCATCCCGTTCTTCTTCATGCGGCGGCAGGACTTGAGGTAGGTGCGGATGCGCTTGCGCGCCCGCTCCTGGAACTCGGGGAACTGCCGGCTGCAGGACTCGATGATGGCCTGGATCTTCTCCTTGGGCTGCTTGGAGATGGGAACCATCCGGTCCAGGTTCTCATCCACGAAAAGGCGCACGAACATCTGCAAAGGAGAAGACGGACGGTGGGAACACCAAGACAGGAGGTGGGTGGGCTCCCCGGCCCCGCGGAGCCCTCCTTACATTGAAGGCCTTTAGCCTCTCCGGGTCCATCCCCTCCGAGTCATTTATCTTATCGTTGTCCTCGTGGTCATCGTGGTCATCATCATCCTCGTCGGCCGTGGGGGCCCTGCCGACGGTCAGGTCCTCGGGGCAGCCGCTCACCTCCGTCTTGATGGAGTCGTAGCTGCCGGAGCTGTACGGCGGGGACTGAGAGGAGACGGGGGTTACCAGGAGCAGCGCCCAGGGCCGCGAGGGAAAAGCCCCTTCCCTTGGCTTGCTGCTGCTGCCCCCGGGCGCCAGCTCCCGCCTGCTCGGGGCAGGGGGGGACGTGGTGGCCTCAGGGAGCCTGCGACGGTGGGGGCCGTGGCCCTGCCTGACCCCGTGGGAAACGCCGCCCCGACCCGGCGGGGATGGATGGATGGATGGATGGATGGATGGATGGATGGATGGATGGATGGATGGATGGGCTCCTCCGCGCACGGCGGCGGCAGCGGCACAGCCGGTCAGGGGCGAGGTGAGCCCACTGCAGAGCCCCAGCTCCGGGGCAGGGCGGGGAGTGGGGGATACCCCCGGCTCTCCCCAACCAGCCCTCCCTCTGCCCACCGCTCACCCGGCGCTCACGCTGACTTCTGCCCAAGGTTGGAGGGCGGTGGCGGGCGCGCGCGGCGCCCGTCCGTCCTTCCCTCCCGACAAGGGGACGGCTCCCCGCCCTGCTGCCCCCCTCTCCCGCCTTCCCGTGCGGGGGCAGGAGCTGTGTCCCTGCCTGGCCTCGGGCACCCCACCCGTGCGGTCACCCCGCCGTGCCCCGTGCCCGGCTCCGGCCAGGGACGCGCGGCCGTCCCGTCTCGCCCAGCCCCGGCAGCCCGGGCCGTACCTCCGCCGTGGTCTTCACCCCGTACTTGACCCTGCTGCGCAGCCCGTCGGCGCTGCAGCTGTCCGACTGGTAGGAAGGGGTGACGTGGGCAGGCGCGAGTTTGTCGCAGAGGTTGATGGGCTGGTCGTCGGCGGAGGCGGTGAAGTCCATGGGGGCCGCGGTGCCATTCCCGTTCATTTCGGGGAAGGCGCTGTCGCCCTGCGTGCTGCTGGAGGTGGAGGGGTTCAGGGTGGAGGAGCCATTCCCGCTGCAGCTCTCTGACGAGGAGTCATCTGCAAGGAAGGATGCGCCGTCACCCCCCCCCCCGCGGTGGCTCTCCCCTCCGCGGTCCCAGCCTCCCCCCGAGCCCACCCAAGGGACCACCGGCACGGGCAACGCGGGTTCGTGCCGCTGCGCCAAAAGCCCCTGCCCGGCCGGGGCCGCTCCGAGCTCACTGGGTGGGTGAGCGGCCGCACGTGCCGCCGGGAGCCGGGCCGGCACAGCCGCGCTTCGGGCGCTGGGATGCAGCAGCTGGAGGTACAGCCACTGGCGCCCGGGGGTTGCCGGGCCATCGTCGCACAGCTCCGCTCCCGCGGCCACCCCCGAGCCCCGCGCCCAGGGCCACCGGTTCCCCTGGGAGGTGGCGGTCCCCACGGCTCCACCCGGGGCCGCAGTGCCTGGGCTTGAATAAGAACTTTGGAATTTGGTCCTTTTCGGTTTCTGTTTGCATTGCAGGGAGGAGAAAGGGGCATTGCCTCTCCCCGCCGCCTCCCGGCGCGGTCCTCCCGGCCCAGTTTGGCGCTGGGTGCGGTGGGAGGTGACGAGCTCCAGCGCCGGCGGCTTGGGGACACGCTGCTCCGTGGAGTGCTGGGGCGTGGGGATGGCACGCGAGGATGGGCTCGCTTGGGTGGGAAAACCCCGAGTTCGTGGGGCCTGGAAGCGGCGTTAGGAGCTCTGTTTGGAGCGGGCACGCTGCTGCGGGGTGGGGGGCAGGAGCCACACCGATGTCCCTCCTGTCCCACTCAAAGCCCAAGCGACCTCCTACACCTTACGTGGACACTCCTGCCTCCCCGTTTCCACGCACCCCGGAGCCATCCCCACAGCAGCCCCACGGCCACCACGTTCCCCCGCCACACGAAGAGGCAAAGCCCGTGGCCCTGCGGGGTGTGGGGGGGTGTCCCAGCCTCGGCGCTGCCACAAACACCCAGCTCCTGCTCGGTTACGTTCACACCCCCAGGTCCTGGCACCGTCCCCCTGCCCGTGCCCAGCTCCGAAGAACCACCCGGCCGTGCCCGGCGCTGCCAGCACCCAGCCCTGCCTGCACCCGGCCGAAGAGCCCAGCCCCGGGGCCAGGCACGACATTTTCAAACCGCTCAGCCCGTTTCCCCTTTCCCTCCCCCTCGCTGCAGTAAATCCTTTATTTCATTAGGTGCCTCCGCGAGAGGGAAAGGGCGAAGCACGTGGGGAGCCGCTTCCTGCGCGAGCGTGCGCCGGGCGGCGAACAAAGAAGCTGCCGGCAGCGACAAGCAGATGGCGATCCCCGCGCCCGGCGCAGGACAATGGGCTGGGGCTGCGGGGTGGCCCCGGCACACGGGTGCCAGGCCCAAAGGTGTGCGGGCGCGGGGCGGCGGGACGGTGCCCGGCTGCTGCCGCCCACCCTCCTCCTCCTCCTCCTCGCCCCCCGCCCCGCCGGCACCCACGGGAAACTTTAAGGAGAGGCTCGGCGAGCGCTCCCGCGACCCTGCAGCAGCGCGGGGCTTTGTATCCCTTCAAATAAACAGATTTGAGGACACTCGGGGCATCCAAGCCGGCCACGGGGGGCTGCTGCCGCGTGTCCCCAGCCACCCTGCCATCGGTGCCAGCGCTCCCTGCCCGGCCTCACGCCTGTGCCAAGGCTGCTCCCGGCCCTGCAAGCCCCTAAATTAAAAGGTCCCCACCCCAGCTCCCCGCTCGGCAGAGCTCCCTCCCCTCCTTTCCCCTGCACTGATCCACTTACTCGTCTGAGCAGTGAGCAGAGCTGACCTAATCCCCGGGGTGGTGTTTATGTGCCGGGTGCCCCAGGCCAGTGGCACAGGCGTCACCGTCCCGGCACGGGGCTGGCTCCAGGCAGCAGCCCGTGGTCCGGCTGGGGCTGAGCGCTGGCTCTGTGTGCCAGGGATTGCGGGGCTCGGGGGGGGGGGTCAGCAGCCAGCGCTACCCTGGGGCACCCCCCGAGCTGCCCCCGGGCACCAGCTCCAGCCTCCCATCCCCGCGCCGCAGCGGTGGGGCTCTGGCAAGCGGCTGCAGCCCAGACCGTGGCACTGCCACCTCCCCACCCGCCCCGTCCCAGGGCACTGGGGGCACTGGATGCTCTGGGGCCCCCCGTGGGTTTTGCTCTCCAGCACTGGCTCAGCTCCCACACCAGCACGTGCTGCTGTGCCCCGGCTCGGCCGCGGCCCCGGGCAGGTGGCTGCGGGCACGGAGGGAGAGGCCTCGGGATGGCGGCCGGCCCTCCCTCCCCCTGCTCTGCTCTCTGCGCCAGGAGAGACGGGGCTCCCAGAGGGAGGCTCCAGCCTCATCCAGCGATGCCTCTCAGCAGGATTAAGGAGAATTATTCCCGAGCGCGGAGGCACGAGCCGCGCGCCCGGGCGCAGCCACAGCAAGAGCGGCGGTGCCGCAGGGGCAGTCGGCGCCCGTCCCTCAGGCCGATGGCAGGGACCCCCTGCCAGCAGCTCGGGGTGGCAGCCACCCCCCGGCATGGCTGCCTGCACAGAGCGGGGGCCGGGGGCCCTCCATGCCACGAAACCCCCGCCAGGCAAGGGGCAGCAGGACGGGCATTACCTGGAGGAGGACTGTGTAGGCGCCTTGAGCATCCCCAATCTGCCCCGGACGTCCCCAACGTGCCCCGGGCACCCCTGCATGGTTCTGAGCATCCCCAACCTGCCCTGAGCAGCCCCAATCTTCATTAAACACCCCCACTCCGCCCTGGGCATCCCGCTCTGCCCTCGCCCATCCACCTCCAGCCCCCCTGCAGCCCCCCCAGCTCCGTCCCCGGTCCCTGCAGCTCCCGTCCCCATCGGCAGTGCCAGTCCCACACTGGCTGCTCACACCGACAAGGCTCCTGGGGGTGAGGTCTGGACCCCCATCCCCAACTTCTCGATGTCTTGGGTTTTCTTTTGTGTTGCACAAAACACACAGAGCAGCTGCAAATTAGGTTTCTACCCGACTCTGCTGCATTTACAAACCTTGGGTTTGCTACTGCCAAAACCCATTGAAAACAAAGAGGAGGATGTCTCGAGGAACCTGTCCAGGTGGCATAAGAAAATGAAATGGGAATCTAACGTAATGGGACCAGAACCTACTTAAAGAACAATTTAGTTTAAACCAAGGATGAACATAAGTAAATAACAAGGTCTGTAGACCCACTAGCTACAGATAATTTTCTAATTTCCACATTTTTACAGGTTATACTTCCCCAGAAGCGCTGCATATAAAGTGGTGGATTCATCTCAGTCTTGTGAACAGAGAAATGGCCACGAATTCAGATTGCCAAGGTCCTCGGGTCTGACCAGGAATGGCCTCAGCCAACTGAAACCCACAGATGGGCTCGGGAGGGAGCGCTGCGTTCTCCCGGCTGGCGTGGACAGGCCGGGGCCAGGGTCCCCCAGGAGCTTCGCTGGGGCATCTCCAGCCCGTGGGCAGCCCCGAGCGGCAACTGGGGTGCCCCACAGCGAAGCGGGACCTGGGCAAGAGGGAGCAGGAGCCCCCCCCCCGGCCTTGGGTGCTGGGATGGAGTTTAGGCTCCTGCTCTGCAGCAGGACCTGGGGAGCGGCGGGGCCGTGTTGGCTGCGCTCCCGGAGAATCACCGTTTTGGTAAAACCCACCAAACTTCTGAGCTTGGAGAGGTTTTCTGCCGACTCCCAGTGTGTGTGAGAGCAGGGCTCCGGCAGCAGCAGGCGAGCAAGGCCAGGCTGTGCCGCCATGAATATATTCATTATCAACCAGCACGAGCCTGGTGCGCTCCCTGCTCGCGGCTGGAGCTTGGCTGCGCGAGGAGCCCCTCTAATGAGGATAATTGGGAGCCCCCTGCTCCACCCCCGCGCCCTAATTGAAGCAGATGGAACTGTAAAAACAATGTCACTTCTAACCGGTTTGATCTTTCGGTTGGAAAACGGAGGATTTCGTGCTCCTGTTTAATCCCCTGGAGTCGGGGTTCCACGGGATGGAGGTGGAGGAGAGCCCGGCACTGTGCGGGGGGACGCCGGGGAGCCCGGCGAGGCTGCCCGGCCCCGAGGCCGCCGGGGCTCTGCCCACTGAGGAAGGAGCCCACGGGGAAGCTGCCTCACGCCTCTGCCGCGGCCTCGGCATCTCCCCGGCGGTGCCCAGCCCCGGAGAGCGAGAGGCAAAATGGCTTCTTGGGCCGCGGTGCTGGGGGAGGAGGGGATCAGTCACTTATTAAATGAATTAATCAGGGCTCAGCGTTTTCATTTTGAAGAGGCTGCTGGATTATCCTTGATTTCTGTGGCGCTGGATTTGCGGAGATCAGGAGGGGAAGGGGCGATTTCCAACACCTGCTCCCCGGGAGATTTTACGGCGGGGAAGTGGTTGGGTTTAACGTCTCTGTCGGCGAAGGCCACCGCACCGCTCTCCAAAGGCAGAGTTAAAGATGAATGGGGCAAATTGTTCCTCCTCCTGTCACATCTCCAGAGCGGAGACAAAACCTCTTTTGACTCAGAAAACAATGAGCTTATGTAAGAGCCAGCGGCCCACGGAAACCTCGCCGCAGCCCCGCACCGCGTGGCAGGCCAGGGGCTGCCCGGCCCTGCCCCATCGCAGCGGGACCCCCGGCCGCTGCCCGCCTGCCTGCGCGGCTCCGGGCGCTGCGGCCACCCCCGTGTCCCACCGGTGACCCTCAGTCCCCCGTGGACTGCCACGGAGCCACCGGACAGGAGGCTGCTGCTCCCACCCGAGCCTCCCCATCGGTACCCGGAGGGGACTGTCCTGGTCCCACCCCGCCGTGGCACTGGCCGTGGCAGGAGGGTGCGGAGCATCCCACCGCCGCCCGCCTGCAACAACAGCCAGGAAGATGAAAAGTGCCATAAATTATTCACTCACAAAAGAGACGAGAAGGGGGAAGAAGGGGAGGAGGAAAGCCTGCGAGGAAGGGATACTTAATACAAATTAGAGAGACCGAGTGGGAACGGGGGGCCCCGTGGGGGGCCACGGCTGGGCGGCAGTGCCGCGTTCATTAGGCACAAGCGCCCGGCGCCCCGGGGCTCCTGCACCCACGGCTGGGTGGTGAGCGGCAGGAGAG